CACAGTTTCTTTTCTTAGCCATCTCAAGGGTCAAGGATGCCCTCGTTCCTGGCAAAGGACTGATGTCTGCAGGGGTTGGTGCAACGTGGTGTGCGGATGCTAGGGAGAGGGTGCAGGAAAGGAGGGCTAATATGAACTGTGGGCTCCTCAGCAGAGGCTGCCCAAGGTCACATGATGATGGGGAGTGTGTATGTACGTGTGTGTGTGCACACACACTTATGTGCAGCTGGTTACTGAGGCTTTCAGACTTTCCTCCAGGAGCTGCTGCCTTTGCGGAGGGAATAAAGGAAAAGTCCCTCTCCCCTCTCCCTCCACCTTGGTGGATCCATGAGGAAGGGTGGTCAGGTCCATTGCTCACACAATGTTCTCCTTTTCCTCAAATCAGCTCAGCCTAAGCAAAGAAACAGGGTGGTGGTCCTCCCCCAAAACGCATCATGGTGGCAGGAGAGGAAGGGCCCTACTTGGGGGGACAAGACTCTCCCTGAATCCATGAGAGTTGTCCCGACGGCTCCCTGGGGATGGTCAAGATGAGTCTTCAGGAAGACTCACACCAGGCATCTTCTGTTTCTTTTCCTTTCTCAGGTGGAAGTGATGCATCCCTGTCTTTGTGATCCACCTGCAGGCTGCCCACCATCCTTGAAAGGGACAGAGAGGAGAGAGACAAACCAAGCAAAGCCAGTGGGCTTTGAAAGCAGCCTTAGCTCTGATTGCCGGCGCTGCCCCAGGGGCCAGCCCTGCCTGAAGCCCTTTGAGCCCAGGTCACTGGAAGGCTGCTATGGGGCCATTTGGTGACCAGAGGGGCCTGTGCCTGTCTCAGGACACAGAGGGCTTCTGTTGGCCACTGACGCCCAGCGTGGGCAGGTGGGAGGGTACCAATCCCAGACAGCAAGTTGATGCAAGACGGCACTCTGCCCAGCCAAACCACAGGAAGAAGAGAAATTCAGTAAACAGAAGACACTTCACTGAACCCAAATGAGGTAAATGCCTACGTGTCTCACTTTTAGAAGAAAGGGGAACATGAAAAATGTATTCTTAGCAAAGCTTCTTCAGCAAAGAAAGTGTTTCACATCATGTGTCCTGGTGTGGGTACACTTCGGGTCACTGAGTCCAGAGTCCAGGTCACTGGCTTCTCCAAGTTCAGTGCCAAGAGTCCACGATGGCCTCTGCTCTGCCATCCAGGCTGCGGTCTCAGAAAGATCCTTCCACCCTCAAGATGTGGAGCTAAAGAGGGTTTCCACTCAGATAACCTGAAACCCAGGAAACGGGTTAAGCTCCTCAGCCCCTGGATTAAGTGCTGTTTTGCTGTGCTTACCCCAGCAGAGGGCAGGGCAACATTGCTCTCTTCTCTCCCCACCCCAGCGCCAGGTCCAAGGCCAGAGGAGGTGAGCATTAGCAAAAATGTGGCTTTTTTTCCTTGGGTGGAAAAGCTGAAAGCCTGACTTGCTTCCGGGCCTTCGGCTGGCCTAGGTGCTACAAAGAGGCTGATGTTACTGCTTCGAGCATCAGCGCTGTGGACTGTGCCAGGAGTGTGGGTGCGTGCGTGGGGGCTGAAGCCTCTTTCACCCTGGGTTCGCCTCCATCCCTTCCATGGTGAGGCTGGAAAGAAAGCGTGAGGCTTCTCCCGAGGCCTTAATCAACACCCTTGCCCCCATTTAAATCCTGTCTGGCGTCTGTCTCCTGCTAAGGTTATGACATCACTGCACAACGTTTCCTCTTTAGCAAAGCGGGGTCCAGGTGATGTTCAAGGGTTGGCCCCCAAAACTGAAGAGAACAAGAATCAAGGATGGTGTTTACTCCCTAGGAAATGTGCTGTTTCTCAGGAAAACTGCAGAAGCCCCAAATGCATTTGCCAGACAGAGCTAGATCAGCAGAACAGTGGGCTTGGACTTGGAGGCCAGTTCAGTTCCACCAGTGGGAAGAAAAACAATGCAGAATGTGGTTTTCTAGTTCCTGGGGTTTAGGGAGCTCAGAAACTCCCTCTGCCCTTGCTGCACCATTGTTAATTGTGGAGGAAACTCTGCCCTCTCTTAGCATCGACATTGAGCTTCCAGCAGCCTCAGTTTATCTGGCAGTGAAATGGAAAACCTCATTTTAAACTCATCACCTATGGTATGAGAGAGGTGGGTGTGACTCCCATGGGCCTTTCTATATCTTCTCCTCCCCCTCAATCACCCTTTCTCTTTCTGCCCTGGCTTCTGCTTGTTGTTTCTCTTTTCCTCCTACTCTCGAGGTCCTCTGTCCTCTGTCATCTCTTTGCCCCCTCCAGGCAGCAAGATGAAGAGCGTGCCACATTCTGGTTAAGAAGTTTTGCTTTGCAGAAACACAGCCAATTTACGATCCTGCCCTTCCCATCTCGGGACTTGTTTATTCACATTTAGCAACCTGAGGAGAGAGGCTTAGCTGGGAGTTTCTGAGGCCGGGGAAAATTACAGTGATACTTAAAAGTGATGCCCTCACCAAGGTGCTGAGCTGGTGCTGTGTGCCCAAGCGGCCACTGAGCTCTGAACAGAGGGGCTTGTGGAAGGGGGGGTGTCGGAAAGGAGGGGGGCTAAGGTTCCCCCTTGGAATCATGGTTAACTTTCTCCGTGTTCCCAAGCCAAGAGACAGAGACAGAAGCACAGAGGGAAAGAGGGAGACAGAGCAAGACACAGAGAGAGCCAGAGAGACAAAGAGAGACCAGAGAGGGGAGAGACAAAAAGTCCAAAGGGTAAAGAGAAAGAAAGAGGTGTGGCAGTCTTGAATATGTTTAAAAATCACAAATAAGATTTGAACAGAGGGGAAAGGGTTTAAAAGGGATTTTTCCCCTTATTTACTACCAAATGAAAGAACCCCTGCAGCAGGTGACTGGCGACCAGGGGAAGTTCCATAAGAACCAGGACCAGTTAAGTGGCAAGGTCCCCGAGCCTTTGTTCCTGGCCTACAGGGCAACTTGTACCTTCTGCATTTTTCTGTGGTGCAGGGTGGTTGAAAAGTACGGTAGACCAGGCACTGAAGCTTGTCCTGAAGAGGCAGGTCATGGGTTGATCTGTCTGGGGTGTCTCATGTCTCCCATCCCATTAGATATCCCTGTCCTACCAACACCTCTCCCCCTCAAGCTGTAGCTGACGTGTTAAAGCAGGGAGTGCAGGCCCAGGATCATACATATCCCAGCTGGAACCCAGGACCTGCCACTTACTAGCTATTGTGTTTGAACCAAATTCCCTAATCTCTGCGAGCCTTGGTTTTCCCATCTGGAAAATGGAGGTATTAATATCCCACAGTGTTATTATAAGAATTATTAATAATATTAGTACACTATTAAACAAGGAAACAAGTAATGGTCTTGGCTCTTAACCAACACATACTGAACACCACACTGTAGGTGTGTGTCATACACTCATGATCCCAAGACGTCCTCACATCACCTCCACCAGGTATGGACCACAAACATTCTCACTTTTTTTTTTTTTTTTTTTGCGGTACGCGGGCCTCTCACTGTTGTGGCCTCTCCCGTTGCGGAACACAGGCTCCGGACGCGCAGGCTCAGCGGCCATGGCTCACGGGCCCAGCCGCTCCGCGGCACGTGGGATCCTCCCGGGCCGGGGCACGAACCCGTGTCCCCTGCATCAGCAGGCGGACTCTCAACCACTGCGCCACCAGGGAAGCCCAACATTCTCACTTTTTACATGACACTGAGAAAGGCAAAACCAAAAGTTCCCGCTGACAGGGTGGCTCCAACACCCTTCCCTTTCACAGCCAACACATCATAGGCGAACAAGATACGTGAGCTTCCTTTCATTCTCCACCTACCAATGGTTTGGCTTTCTGTTTGGACAGGCCCATTCCCTGCAGCTGGAGTCCAGCCCTGCAGAGCTGCAGAACCCTGGAGAAGCAGCCCGGCCTTGGAGGGCGTCGGGAAGCACCTCGTCCCAAATCCATCAGCCAATAGCTGGCGGAGGCACCCTGGGCAAAATCATTTTCTCTCTCTGAGACCTCTGATTCCTCATCAGAAGAATGGAAGTAGAGGTGATGCTAAGGGTTTTCCTGCCCAGACAAGTTATTTCGAGGACCCAGGGTAGGGAGGCAGTGTTATCAGTACAGAGAAAAGCCACAGCTCACAGGAAGGGCAGAATTCTCCTCCTCTCTCTCAGCCCCACCAAGAGCCTCTGTTAGACCTATAGACCCTCGGGGCGTAGGCCGGGCTGTGGCTGCCCCCAGACTTTAGAAGGGGAAAAAGGAGGACCACACAACCTGAAACTTACTCTGACCTGGGGTTTAGGCCCCCAGTCCATTGAGAGCAGTCAAATTTCAGGATAAAACACATAGGTTGAGAGATCAGACATGTGGGGCTTCAAGTCCATCTTAAGAGTCTCTTCCTAGCTGTGTGACCTTGAGCAAGTCACTGTCTCTCTGAGCCTTAGTTTCCTCATCTACATAATGGGAATAAAACTAGTGCTACCTCCAAGGGTAGATGTAATAAAGCAAGGCTTAGAAAGCACCTGGCCCAGCCTCCAGGGCACAGCAAATGCTCATTCATGCTGCTGCCCCTGTACCCGTGCTGAGAGCCGAGGGGCTGTGCTCCCGGGCTTCCCATCCCCACCTGACTCAGGGCCTCGTCCTGCCACCGCTGTCCATACCGGGTACGAGTGCCACTTGCAGGGTACGTAAAATGGCGTTTGAAAGATGAAGGCTCTGTGCAGCTCATGGATTTTCTGTTTAAATTTACTGATTCCCTAATTATAATCTCAGCAAGAAGGAAAGGACCGAGACCAGCATGGGCTGTCGAAGAGCAATTACTTGGCAATTTTCTTTTTTCCAGTGGAAGCGAAGGGAGGTGTAGGAGCACGACACAGGGAGCTCAGATGGGCGGCTGCCTGGGAGCCGACTCAGCGCTTCTTTGGAGAGCAGCCACGGGGATGGTGCTTGGGGGGCAACGGGGGAGGGGGAGCTGGTGGGTGACTTACCCATAAAGTGACATCTCTTTGACATCCCCCTTTCTTGCAAAGCTGAAACAGAGCCTGCTCTCCCCTTCCTTCCTGGTTAACAGATAACTGTAGGGCACATACCTATTTGACAGATCTTTCTTTTTCTTTCATAATTTCCAAAAGTAGAAAGAACACTTGCATAGAATTATCCAGGGTGCTTGTCAGAGATTCACGCCCCAAAGTCTCACCTCAGACCTACAGAATCAGCCTCTGCCGCCTGGGGTGTGGGCACTGACATCTGCACGTGGCTAGTGGCCCGGGAGATGCTCACAGACGCTGAAGGCCGAAAGCCCCCCACGGTGGGCTATAAACTCCTTGAGCCCATCCTGTTTCCACATGGCAGCAAGATGCAAGGCTGGGCCCAGTGTCTGACACCTGGCGATCCGTCATTGCATCCTTGGGCAACTCAGCTCCTCACCTCTTGGATGCCTGGGGTCACCAAATTGGAAGTGTCTGACGCAGAAAAGGATGGCTGAAGGCTTGCCTTGACCCAAGCCAGTACATTGTCGTTTGCAGAGTGTCAGATCCAGAAGGACTCTAAGCAAGAAATTTCTGAGCGTGAGAACAAAGATGACTGGGCTTCAAAATCTGGTTCCACCATCACTTACCAGCAAGACAACTTTGGACGTGTTGCAGCACCTCTCTGTACTTCACCTTCCTCAACTGTAAAAATAAGACAATAACAGAACCATCTTCCTGGGAGGATAACTTACGATTACACGGGACACATGCACACCAATGCACATGTACGCCCATGCATGCGCACACACAAACATGTGTGCATGAACACACGGTACCTCACAAAGTGCCGGGCACCTGCGAACTGCGAATTGACTGCTGTTGCTGGAGGCTTACTATACCCTAAGCACAGTGCTGAGTGCCATAGCTGGATTTTCCCATCAAATCCTCACCACCTGGTAAGTAGGTTTTTGTACCCATTTTACAGAGGAGGGAACTGAGACTCAAAGAGATGAAGTAAGTGGTGCTAGGTTAAAGAAGCAGTAAGGTTGGAGCCATTGGTTTATTCATAAAATAGTGACTGCTCTGTGTGTGCCAGGCTCTATGCAAGGCATTGGGGATTTTGTGGAAAACAAGAAAGACAAGGTTCCTGGTCCCTTGGCAATCACGTCTGTTTGAGGGAGATTTGGAGACTGACTCTAAATTGTCTGACTCCAGAGCCCAGATGTCTGCCCACCACTCGTACTGCCTTCTTCATAGGCGATGGGTCTTATGATCATTGTCAAGCACACGGCCAAGCCTCTCCCATCTCCTGTCGCTGCGTCTGGGTCCTGGGACTCTGTACTTGGAACAGAGTGGGACTTGCTGAGAAGAGCTCTGATCCTGGGATGGGGAAGCAGGTTGAGGGTAGAATACAGACCACCAGGTTCCGAGTGAGGGTTGGAGGGTCTCAAAAACTGTGAGTAGAAACAGTACTCATTTTACAGTCAGATCTAGCCTTTGCTGCTTGTGATTCCTGAAAACGTTGTCCAAAGCGCATTGAGATCTCCCCATCACTAGGAAGGATACCTGCTCCTCCCCCAAGTCCCCTGACCTACATCTTCTCAGGATCAGAAGGGCGTTCACCCCTAGCCAGGTGGGCTGCAGATCAGGGAGTAGGAACTTGGGCTCCCTCTAGTGAGACAGTGGGGGACCTGCGTTCTAGGCGCAGAGCAGCCTCTCTGTAGGACTTCCTCCCTGTCAAGAAGATGGTGGGGTTGAGAGAGTCCTGGTCAAAAATAGCCCCTCCTGTGGCTGCCAAGAACGGCAACAACTCCCCAGCAGAGCTGTCAGGAAAGCTCGCTCTTCTGAGGTCGTTGCCTCTGTACCTAAACTTCCCCCAGCTGTGCACACACAGATCCCTGGGTTCTGGCCCCATGTAGCTCCCTCAGCCCCTGCACCTAAACTTCCCCCAGCTGTGCACACACAGATCCCTGAGTTCTGGCCCCATGTAGCTCCCTCAGCCTCCACACCATACTCTTTGCCACACCAAACAAGCACTGCTTTCCCTGCTGGGCCCGTTGGGCTGGGCTTGCCCCTGGCCCCTTCCTGCTCACCCCGCTGCTCCCTACCGACTGGGGGTGGGCCATGACAGAGATTGGCCCTGAGCCCCATTTCCGTGCTCAGCTTTTCCTCCTGGAAGCCACCCCATAGTATTTTTGGAGTCACTTAACATCCTAACGATTAGCAAACTCTTGCAACCAGATGCCTGGGCTCTGCTGAGTCAGCAGATGTCCCAACAGCAGTGGAGAACAGACCGTGGGCAGTGTCACTTCGAATGAGTCTCGTGACCTCTCAGGGCTGCAGTCTCCTTGTCTGAAAACTGAAACAAAAGGCTGAGGTTAAAAGTGACAAAATATGGGAAAGCACTTTGGAAAGTATAATGCACAAGCCCCTGTTAGTATTTCTATTATGTTTGAAACCGGGAAATCAGCTGAGATGCCTTATCCTTTAGGATTCCAATGGCTTTTCTTGGATGTCCCCCCACCACGACCATGTAGTGGGCCCCTTCTGCTCTCAGTCTCTCTGCTATTATGTAGATGTGGGGAGAGGTGTACGGAGGTCAGGGTATTCCCAGTCACCTGGACTTCTGAGCACCTGCTGACACTGAATTAGGCCAGCTTAGGGACCTGCTTGGTTTCATAGGTACCCTGATTCTCTTCTGCATCAAATCCATCTGAATTTGTAATTCAATCCCTTCTCCTAATTTTCACTTTAAAAATCTGACAAATCCTTTGTATGTAGCCAACGTCACGGGAAGTCTGGGGAGACAGACGGAGCTTACCTCACAGCCACACAGACAACTTAAAGGTGAGTTTCGACATCTCCCTAAACATCCCTTGGTTATTCCCAATACCTGGAGGCCAGCCTCCATCTCCACTTTCCTAAGCCCTCTTCAGCTCTCTCCCATCCCAAATTCCTACCACAGAGAAGTTTAGGTCTTTCTTTCTTCAAGGATCCACACCTCTATCTACAAAGGCAATCCCTTCCCTGAGAGGAGCTTAGGTGTCAGTTGAGGGGATAATAACTTCTTTCTCTCCACTACACTCTATCTCTGGACTCCCCATTCATGTGGGTAAGAGATAGGAAAGAATGAGGGCTGATGGGATGCTACTGCAGGGGCAGAGAGTGAGGACGTCGCAGAGAGGAGCTCCAAGGCTGCACAGAGTTCTGCCCCATAGTTATTTCGGAGGGGGTCTTAGCCCCTCAAGTCAGAGAATCAAACTCAAGCATTGTCTCCTCTACACGGCAGAGTCTTAATAAAGATTTGTCCTGAGCTGACCTAGTTCACTCACATATTAAGGAAGGCAGGACCCATACTGTTTCCAACCGAAGCTGAAGCCACAGAAGAAAAAGGGCCCTGGAAATGCCTCCAGGCCCATTGTGTCTGGTCCTTTGTCCTACTGCTCTGGAACCTCTGAAGCCCAAGGACACCCAGCTCTCAGACTCGTGGCCAGAGACAGAGACAGGAGATGTGACTGAAGCTTGTAAGGAGGAGAGACGCACAGTCATTGCAGACTCCAGATAATTCCATGTGGGGTCAGCACACCTGGAGAGGCAGCCACGGGTCTCTTCATCTGTATAGTGGTCAACATCATAACAATAACAACAGCAGCAACTGCAAATGATAATAGCTGTCCTTATTTGAGCGCTTATGATGTGCCACGTCCTTACACACATTTTTCATTGAGTACGGTAATCATAGGATGTAACTACCCTCATTTTACAGAGTGAGGAATGGAAGAACCGAGGCTTAAGAGGTTTCGTTGGTCTAGAGGTGACATAGCTCAGAGGTGTAGGAACTGGGCTTTTAACCATCACATGGCCCTGCCTCCTAACCAGTATACCATTGAACACGTATCAATTCTCAACTTAGAAATGAACTTCTCAGGTATTATTTTATTTACTCCTCACCTTGATATACCCAACCTGGAAGCTACGTTACAACCACGTCACAGACAAGGAAACAAGGCTTAGACAAATGACAGGGTTCGTCCGCCTCTCCTTTGCTCACTGGAATTCGAGGGCGATGCCAAGGTGAAAGGTATTGACATTCTGCAGTGGAAAGATAACCTGGGGCGGGGGGGAGTGTATATTCAAGGGGTGAGCATCTCCCTCCCCAGCATGAGCAAGCTTACGGACTAGGTGGAGAAAAACAACACAAACTACCCAAAAAGCTTTCACATCCCCTTTGGTATGCCATTGCCTCCTGCCCTTCTGGGAACACGCCAGCTTGGCACTAAGCTTGAATTCCTCTAAGAGTTGAGTTGGTTTCACTATTTGAGGCTCTGGGCACAGTGACAAGGGCGGGTTTTCTCGGATCTGCAGTGAGCATTACACCAGAGTTTGGGAAATAGCCCCTACTCAGCACTGCACCGATGCAAATGCCCCAGGGTCTCCCTCCTGCCCACTAGCCACCCAGGACTCTGCCGGCCCCCCTGGGGGCTGATGTAATTACCAATATGAGGATGCCTATTTAAAGGGACTTTTATTTAACCGGGAAGTGCCTCCTCTCCAAGTTCCCTCCATCACTGCCTCTAGATGGATTTCTAGAAGGATTGTTCTGACTTAGACCCGGAGCTGCCTGTGGTTTGGCCTTGGTCATGTGACCATTCTCCCGGCTTTCTTGGTGGGTGGCCTTAAAGGTAGAAGGGACTAGTCAGTCTGGCCTGGCTGTGAATGTCAGGGTCAGCCCCTCTATTCTCCATGACCGGATCTGGGGAAACAGGACTGTGAGTGGTACAGAGAAAGGGAGACAACCATAGAAGCAGAGGGGACTGGCCACCCATGACGAATTACCTCTTTATTATTTCTGACACCCGCCCTGGTGCCACAAGGGATTTGGGTCATTTGTGACAATATATGTAGTAAAATATAAAATGCAAGTGACCCAAAATCTGAAGGCAGTGTAGAATTTGGGTTAAAAACGCAGGCTCTCCACTCTCATTGTCATTGTTGTGGGAGAGGCCGCCTCTCTATCTGTGCAGGGGCCCCTAGAGTGACCCAGGACTGTTGTGATTTTAGCAACTGAAAGTAGCTGCTTCCCCGGAAGCTCCTTGGTCCTGGGAAACCAGGACAGTTGGTCACCCTGCCCGTTTAACACCAGAATCAATTCTGACAGTTGGGAGGTCTTATCCCCATTTTAAAGGTAAGGAAATAGAGGCTTAGGAAGCTGGAATACCTGGCTTATGGACACACACCTAATGAGTGGTTACAGTGGCCACTTAAGTTGAAGTCTCATGGGCTCCAAAACCCACGTTATCCATGGTGCTCTAAACCAGGCAAGATCCCAACCAGAGCAAAATTTCAAGTCTGTTTTGGTGAATTTATTCAAAAGAGCTTGGTGGCTGGAGGAACCCAGCTTGTCTCCATGAACAGTGGGGAGGCGGGCATTCTTCCTTGGGCTGCCCTTGGCACTGGGGATGGAGAGAAAACAGACCTGGTCCCACTGTCTGGGAGCTTGCAGACTCGGGGGACAGATATCAGGCAGACACGTATATAAAATAGAGTCAGGGAAGGCCAAGTGCCCTGAAGAAAGATACACGCACACACACCTGCCCCCGCTGGGTAAGGGAATCGGTGGTCAGAGGGGCGCTTTCCCGATGGAGTTGTTGGAGGGACCACTCTGCGGAGGTGACATGTGAGCAAAAACCTGAGTAAGGTGAGAACAACTTTGTGTGAATAGCGTTCCAGGCCGAAGAAGCGCAGCACAAAGGCTCTGAGTCCAGAACATGCTTGGCCTGTGTGAGGAACAGCCAGGGGGCCCGCGAGGCTGGAAGGGAGTGAGCGAGGCAGAGGCTGCCGGGACCTTAACCCAGAGCCTTGCAGGGAGGCTGCTGGAGGGTTCAGGGCAGGAGAAAGACAGGACTGTGAACTGGAGGTGACAGAGATCAGCCCCTGCCCCCACTGCAGTCTCAGCCACAGCAGCCATGTCTCCATGGGCCCCAGGGCTGTGGTCTCCTCTGGCCAGGTGGCTCAGGGCCACCGAAGTGGGAGATGAGGGTGGGGTGATGAGGAGTACCTTTCCCTGTGTCCCTGATCAAGTGGCTCAGCTCCCTTAGTCTACCTTCCTCCTTGTCTCAGCATCACTCCAGGGTCAGAATCCTTTGTCCAGGCATCAAAGTTCTCAAGACACTCTCCGTGCCCAGCACTGTGCTGGGATCTGAGGGAGCATGGAGTACGTGTCAGGCCTGGGATAGAAATGTGAACAAAAGAGACACACTCTCCCTGTTCTCCGGGCAGCTTACATGCAGGGAGAGAGGCTGTCATTAAACCAACAGACACACAAAGGGGTCCACATTTATATGCGAATGAATACAATTGTGTATCCTAGGTGAGATGAAGTTGGAGAGATAAACAGTGGTGGGATCACAAGGGCCTTGAAAGCACTGCCAAGCAGCGTGGGTGTGATTTTGAAGGCAATGGGAAGTCACTGATGGAATGTAAATGAGGTGCTGACTAAGCAGGTTCACTGTGAGAAATGGGCCAATCAGAGAGGTACTAAGGAAGCAGAAGTGACGAGAACGGGGGATAGCTTGGATGGAACTAATGATGGCATGGAAAGACGGGAAACTTGGGTAGTTTTCCCCCAGAATGGATGTCCACCAGGAACCTCAGAATGTGACCTTATTTGGAAAGAGGGTCTTTGCAGTTGCAATTAGTTAAATTAAGTTGAGGTCATACTGGATTGGGACCATTGTCCAATGACTATTGTCCTTATAAAAAGAGAAAGCAGACACACAGGAAGAAGTCCACGTGAAGATCAAAGCAGGTTGAGAGGGATGTATCTACAAGCCAAGGAATGCCCAGGACTGTCGGCAATCACTGGAAGCTAGGAGAGGCAGGGAGCGGATTCCCCCCTCAGCCTCCAGAAGGAACCAACCCTACCAACACCTTGATATCAAACTTCTGGGCTCCAGAACTAAACTTTAGTGAGTGACTAAATTTCTGTTGTTTTAAGCCACCCAGTAGGAGGTAATTTGTTACAGCAGCCACAGCAAACTAATACCGAGGGGAAAGGATGAGGGAGAAATCAAGAATGACCCCCAGTTTTGTGACCTGGGTATCCTGGGAGGCTATGATGTGGTTTGCTGAGCTAAAGAATACGGGAAAAGCCATCTGGGCTATTTGCAAAGAGCAGGGCCCTGCAGACGCTGAAACAGGACAGGTATATTTTGATGGGAACATAAGAATTAAAGAAGAATCCAGAATCACTTGTATCTAGGAATTGGGACCCCAGCCCTAAAATGTGCATTTTGTGAAGCTGTGTCCTGCTTTCAGGGCCTCCGGGACGCAGTGGTGAGACACAGGGAGCCTGACTTATATGGCTTCGTGTTGGTCAGCCTGGGGCAGCCAGACCACACCTGTGGCCTTTGGCATCCAGCTGAAGCTGGCTCTTCTCTTTCCACGCTTACATAACACAGGGGGTCCGAGTCCAGTTCTGAGCGTAGTACGCAAGGGTGGGGGTCAGGAGAAGGCAGCACTGGGCCGGACGTGTCGATGCGTAGCAATGGGGTAGCATCTGGGGCCACCAGACGGAGAAGGGGAGGTTTCAAGGACCCCCTTGGTCTCTCCCCATCTTTTCCCTGGAAGTCTCTGCAGCTGCACCATCTCCCTTCTCGCCAGTTGCATAGCAAAACCGTGGTTCCTCCAGCTCCAAGCCAGGCCCTGCAGACGTGCTGACACAGTTGAGGGCAAAGGGCATCAAGACCCCCACACGAGGTGCCCCGCCCTCAACACAAATGGGCCTGAGCAACGCCAGCCAACAGCACTCATGAATCTCCATCAGCTCTTAGGCATCATTTCTCATAATGATAATGGAGAAGGACATGGAGCCCCACTGGGAACATGGAGGCCTAGAGCAAGGTGAATCCCCCTCTGAGGACCACACTTGCACAGAACGGATTTTTCTGAGACTCAGAGGAAAAGGAAAACAAAAACTGATTTAATTCTGAGGAAATTGCCTTTTTTACCCACCTGTGTAAGCCCGTATTTAAATGCTAATATTTTGGGCCTGCTGGGATGCCACATTTATTTTCTCCTAAGCAGAAACAAAAAATCATTTATTTATGAGAATTCTAGCTCCTACACTCTCTCCTGAGTTCCTTACTTTCATTTCCATCGACGAGCTAGACTTTTCTCTCCCTAAGACAAATGGAATCTGTAATCATTTCACTCCCCAGACCTGATCCTCTTCGTATCCTTCCTGTTTCTGTTTCTAGGAACGCTGGTGGCTTTTGACTCCCTCCCATCCCTGAGACTTTCCTCTGATCAGTCACCAGTCCCATTGACTCCACTTCCTCCCCTGGAGTGAATCACCAAGTCTGCCTGAGAGCCTCCACTTCCCCATCTGTAAAATGGGTAACATTAACTCATAATACCAACCTCATGAGTTTGTGACAAGACCCAGATAATCCAAATACAACCCCCAGCACAGAGTAACAAGTCATGGTGATTATAATGATCCCGTCCCCCATGGAATCTGCCCTTTTCCTCTTAGTGGTTGTTCTATTATGAGCTGTTTAGTGAGCTCTGAGACGACTCAGTCCTTCTGATCAGAAAAACAGACACTGGTCACTATTGGCTTCAGAGTATTTTCATGCTCTGAAATTCTCTACCTTATAAACGTGTTTGTTTATGGTCTGAGCACCCCTCCCCCACTCCACCTGGAAAATGCAATTTCCTCAAGGGAAGGGATTTTGTCTTTTTGGCTGGTGCATCCCCAGTGCCTGGCACATAGTGGGATTCTAGAATTTCAGAAGGGAAGACACCTAGACTGTGCCGGTTATTAAGCTACTGACCCTCAGCTTCAAGGGCTCCTTTCCCTGCCCCGCTCCGTGATGCTGGGCTGGGACTCTGCCAGCCACCTCTCTGCTTTGCCAGCAGTGCCAGGACAGGCTGTGCCATGGCGGAGAGGGAGGCTGCAGGCTGGAGAGGGGGCCTTGTCCCTTCCAGGCAGCTTCCTGCTCCTGCCCGTGTCCCCACGGCCACAGTGCTTTAGCCTAGCAGTGGCGGCAGCTTCCGGTTTCTGACATATACTTTTTTGAACTTCCAGAATCAACCTCATAGCTCTGCCTCAGAGGTGCTAGCACCAGCCAGCCAGCACCCCTTCCTCAAAGGTCTGAGGCTCACTGTCACAGAGTCCCTCCTCCAGGCTTCTAGGTCCTGAGGGTCCCAGTTCTTTATGTCGTCACCCCTACCCCCAGCCCCAGCACTAGAGCAGGCAGCTGCTTCCCGCAGTTACCACCTCTGTGAGGCCTCACTGTCCCCCTTTGCCTTTCCGGTCCTCCAATACCTGCTTAACACGTCCTTATATGAAATTCTCTCTGTTAAAATAGCTGGTGTGGCTTGTGTCTCCTGGCTGCTCTGTGACTGAATCTGTGCCTACTCTCCACCTCCCTCCCATCCCCACAGCTATGGCCGTGGAGGGAATTCCCTCCAGGATGAATGTCTCCATTCTCTCTCCATGATGTTTTAGGGATGGGGAGTTTATGATTTTAAGGGACAGCTGCTTTTTTCTTTTAATAGCGAGGCAAAACGCATCTCTCTCACACTGCCAGTGGCTTTAATTTTGAACCCTGATGAGATACTAAATAAGTTTCCATGAATTTTCGAGTCAAACGTCAAATGGTCTTGACTCAAGATGGCTGTGTGACCATCAACAAGTTACTTTCTTTCTCTGAGTCTTTCCTCACCTGTAGAGTCGGTAACATAATAGTACCTGCCTCACAGAGTCATAAGGATTAGATCTGGGCAAAGTGAGTATTTAGAGCAGTCACCTGCACGTAGAAGGCGTTCAATGAATCCTGCTGTCATCATTATCACTGTGAGGACAGCCTCTCCACCCTCTAAGGAATAGCATGTTTGTCCTGTCTTAGCCTTGCCCTCGGAGAGGTCAGTGCACTTTCCTGGGCCCAGACGCCCTCTGGAGCCCCCATCTGCCTCTCCTCCTTCCCCCTGGAACTAGTTTGTGAAGATTCCCATAAACAGTTTCAAGTGGAGAGATAACTGTCTTCCCAAGTTCCTTTGGCTAACGCACACTGGTACAAGGAGGCTGACTAATTATAAGCCTGCTGACGGTTTAATTTCCCTGGAGCCACCTGAATACCGTGTGGCCTCTTCTGTTCTTGGTTTTCAGAATACCGTGTTTCTTGAGCAGAGAAGGATCCTCTCCTATACTCTCCTATCATGGATGTAATATAGGCACAACCAGCCTTCCTTCGCTGGGAATTTTCTTGGCACACTAAACACCTTGCTCACATTCCTGGGGGGTTTGCTGTGTGATATTTTGGATGCTGTCGACCTTCTCTGGGCCTGAGTCATTTATTTAAGGTTGAGAGTTCAGATACTTGTTGCCTTGCTGTGTTCAGAGGAGGATCTGAAATGCTTAGTGTTTGGGTTACTACTAGGGGAGATTAAACCTTGGAGCCTGGCTCCACGATTTCCAGTGACCATGAAGCTTCACCTACACAGCATGAATTCTTTTAGGGGACGGGGCGGGAGTGGTGGCACTAACAACAACAGTGGCAGTAGTAGGAGCAGCAGGAATGACCTTTGCCCCTGACAAAGTGGTTTACTATGCCAGAAGCTAAATTAATCACATTGGTTTCATTTAAATCTCCCCCAAACTTTAGGAGGGAAGAATTGTTCTTCCCATTTTACAGATGAAAAAACTGAGGCTCTTTGGCTTGCTCCAACAATTGCTAAATTGCAGACCTTAGGATCTCGGGTCTGTCGTTGGCTTTTGTACTTGCTGTTCCTCAGCCCTAACAGTTATTACCTCAGGGAGCTGTATGGCTGGTTTGGAATCTCTGCTTAAGTGTCATTTTAATAGAGAGAAGACTTCCTCGATGACCCTATAAAATAGGAGCTCCTGTCACTTTTATCCACTTAGCTTTCTTTTTCTTCAAAGCACAATCGATATATGCACATATTGGTTGACTGCGTCTGTCCTTCCACCATGTGAACGTGACCCTGACAAGCACAGGACTTTTTCTGTTTTGTCCATCACTGTATATTCAATGGCTGGAGCAGAGGTCATGGTAACAGTGTTTTCAACATATATGGGTGTAGAATGAACGAGTGATTAAATACCAGGTGCAAAGATCCATGGTCTTAACCATTATCTGTCTTGCTTGGAGGAGTTATGAGATACTTGCTTATAAGATTGGCCTGATCCTTCCAACAGTAGGTGCCGTTGTTTCGTTACCCCTGTGTGTTCAAATGTTGGGATTCCAGATTCCTGAGCTGGAGCCCAAATACGAATCCCCTCCGGACATCTCTCATCATTCCCAAACAGACGCTGCTAACAGCCTTCCAGAAGTACCTCCACCAGCAATGTTCCTGGCCAGGTTTCCAGCCGAAAGACCAAGTTCAGGGTCAGCTAACGTCACTAAAGTCACAGCCTTTGTTTTTTTGGCTTCTCAATTTTCAGTGTCCTTCCCTTGTGTGGGATGGAAGAGAGAAGCAACTGGGTGTAGCTGAGAGTTCCATGTCCTATGAAGTGAATTCTCCATTCAGAGGGCGGTACTCTCCTTGGCAAAATGGTCAGGTGGGTACCACATGCTCTTTTAATCTTTCTCTAATCTTTCTCCTCCTCCCTGGTGCCCAGGTAGTGCTGCCCTTGGCCGACTGCTTGCCTACCCAGTGATGTTTCACACCCCAGTTCTTTCCTCTTTCCTCTCCACCTCTACCTGCCCTGCGTCTCCATCCCACTAAGATTCTCCAAAGTGAGCAAAGTTCATTGGATAAACGATTCTTGACAAGGGCTTCACATCTGATGATGAGTCCACTCCACCGTTAGGTCCAGGAGGGCACCGACCGTGTCTATCTAGTGTGCCCGGCTCAGCATTTTCTACATCCGGGGCCCTCAGTGCTTCCTGCTCCCAGGCTGCTCAGCCCTTTTCTACAGACTGTGAGCTCAGTAAGTACTGGATATATGAGCAAGTGTACAAAAGAACAAGAGCCATTAATATTCCCAGATATCACATGCATTTTAACTGGGACCTTCAATACCTTAAGACAAAGAGTGAATAACATGGCGGTTTCAAACCTTAAGACATCAAATGCAATGGGGTATTTTCCTCCGGGGCTCCTTTCTGTTGTATGTGTTGTGACTCATACCATGTCGGTGAGTCAGGGAGCGCAGGCCACTTTAGGGCTTGGAGAAAGGCTCTGTGCTAGTGGGCTGTCTCCGGGGTCTGTTCGTGGAATTGAAATTTGTTGGTGGCCTGAGGGCTGAGGTTCGTTTCAAGATTCATTTCCACATGACTCGCAGAAGATGGGGAAGAAACTAGACACGAAGCATGAGTTCTGGCATATGTGGCATTTTATCAACAGGTGGTCTCCCTTCTCTGGCTCTTAAGCAATCTAGTGCTCTCAAACATCCCAGAGAAACAGATAATAGACAAGCCGATGGAGAGAGAGAGAAAGACATTCCCAGGGCATGGCTTAGTTCAATGCCAGGTGGATTTCATATCTGCTGTTCAAATGGAACCATAGTGCATTGGTGGGTGGTACCCATGGTGATGGCCCATGGGGACCCTTTAAATCACCAGGGAAAGTAAAGTGGGGATGTCATGGGGGAGGTTCACGGCCCTGTGTAGAGGGTGGGATGAGATGTCCCCCTGACGTTCCAGGCAACCCACATGGTCTATGCTACTGAACAGCAGCCAGACTTTTTATTAAGCAATAGTTGGGGTTCATATTTGCATACTACCATGCAGTTTTACTTCTAAGAGTATTGTACTGTAGTCAGATTGTTTGAATTTCGGTCATTCCTTTACGGCATCTCCGAGGAGTACTTTCTTCGTCAAGAAAAGCCCTAATTGCACTCCTCTGCTGTCCTGATGAGAGAGCACAGACTCTTAGCTGCTCTGTAGGGGTGAGAGCTGGAGTTGAACCCCCCGACTTTGAGTGGGTGTGTGTTGGGGTGGAGGGCGGGGCACCTGGAGCCGGGAAGCAGCAGAGTCATTGACTTTCCAAATAAACGGAGGCAGACAGCCTCTGCTGCTGGTGCCAGAGAGCTGCACAAGCCAGCTCCCCCAGGGCTCCCCACTCAGCCCAACTTCTCCGTGATGCAAACCAGGCCGCTCAGAAGCTACCTGCAAACTTTCCACTGAGCGCAAAGCAGTGGTCTCCTACTCTGGAGGGAAGTCCTCCCAGATCCCGATCAAGGCACGGCACAGAAAATTGATCTATTAGATTAACCAGGAAGGAAAGAGCGGGAGAGTGAACCGGGAGGCTGTGGAGTGGAGTGTTTTTGCGTAGCAGTCCCCTCCCTTCTGACTCGAGTATTAATTGCTACATTACCACTGCCATGTAAGAAAGACAGTCAGCAAAGCCTGGGAAAGCTCCAGCTTCTCCCTCCCCACGCTGCTCAGCTTCACCCTCCTCCTCCGTCCCCTCAGAGCGCCCTGTGCCCTGGCAGTGCTGCCCCAGCCCTGACATCCTGAGATCCTCCTGTGGCGAGGACTTGGGTGGACGGCGGGAGGGAGTGGAGGGAGGGAGGAAGGAAGGGAGCAGATATCGTGCCCTGCAGGCTCTCTGGATGCAGAAGCCGGACTCACTGCAGAGGCAGCTGTGCTGTTCCCGTAGCTTCTGGGGTGCGTCCTTCTCTCAGGGTTCGCCCAGGCAGGCTCCAAGTTCCAGGGGCACGCAAGGTGGGTGCCTTTCCTTCTGGGTGCCGACAACAGAGCCTGCCTTCCCTCTGCCACCATGAGCAGCTGCTCCAAAAGATGCAAGCTTGGGTTCGTGAAATTTGCTCGGACCGTCTTTAAGCTCGTCACTGGGACCCTCAGCAAAGGTAGGGAGCCTGGCCTTGACCCTCGTTTTCTGTATTGGTGCGGTCTGGCTGGTCAGGGTGCCTCGGTGCGGTTAAGTGTGGCCATTCCCGTGCGCCTGGGTCTCAGAGGAAGCTGGGGAGAAATCGGGGGCTGGATTTCAGGGTTGCTGACAACCTGGGTCCTGGCTGCAAGCAGGCGGGCACCAGGCCAGGGAGTTCAGCCGGCTGTAATTGCCTGGAACTTTGGAAATGGGTTTGGCGGTGTGTGGCTGATTGGTTACAGGCGGGCAGAGGGACAGAACCCTTCCCAGAGCACTAGAAGCAGCTTAGCATGACTAGAGTTTCAAGAAGTTATCCACGGAGTGTTGTGCCTTGTGATAAAAGAGAGATTTGATGCAGTGGGCTGTGAGTAATTCTGCAGAACAGAGAGGCTGGAGGGGGCGCCCGCAGGAGGTGGCTCGGGGCTGGAAGCCACCGTGCACTGGTGAATACAGGATCTATATCAGCTCTGGGTCTGATGTCAGGAGCCAAGAGCTTCCTCTCACGGGGTTCCAGGGTCTTGCGTTTCTGGGTCTTTGTTCATCGTTTCTTTGCTTTTTTTGGACCCCTGTCTCTCTGCGTCTCCTACCTAGGCCCATTCCCCAGGAGCAGGCGTGGCAGGGAGTTTTCAGGTCTGACTGCCTGGGTAGCCCAGAAGGGATGGTTGTAGACCGGAACTAGGACTGCATGTGTGCATTTCAGCCCCAGGATGCAGAGGGGAGGCTAACTTCTCAGGGACGTCCCTGCCTCTGGGGCCCCATGTTACACTCTGTACCAAGGAGTGTGAGGGACTCAGAGACACTCTGGCAAACTTTCTGGAGATAAAATTTAAAGAGGGAGCAGCGGCGTGATGTGGCTGCACTGGCTGAAAAAGTGTCTTTAAATATTCATGCCCTTCGTTCAGGAGGAAAGAGTCTTTGGGGGAGATGCACTGGAAGAGGCAGGCAGGGTATTTGGGGAAGGAGGGAGGCCCACATACTCTTGATCGGGGATTTTTTTAAATGACAATGAGAGAAGATAAGGACTGTGTATGGCCATCTCTAATGACCTGGTTCAGGTCCCCGGCTGCCCGGCAGGTCCAGCATGGTGAAATTGTAAGGTGGGTATGGGAGAAGGAATGGTGAGATTTGGCTCATCTCCTTTCTCTGGCCCTTTCATAGCTCCTGTTCTGTCCCCATTGCACTTCTGAAATAGGGCGCTGCCCCTCCAGGAAGCTCAGGTGGGTTGAAGGCCCAATGCTAAGGGTCAGGCTGCCAGGCAGAATTATTAGGGGCTCCAAGTGGGACAGACTGAGGTGAGGCGGAGAGAGCAGAGGGCTTAGGGGATGGTGCAGGGTTCCCCCATTCAATCCTCTCATCAAGGATCCCGGGATCTCAGGGGGTGACGGGTGAGGGGCAGCATCCTATCCCAGTCTCTGCTTCCCAGAAATGCAATGGAAAGAGCTTTGGCCTGAACTTAGGAAACCTAGGTCTCAGCTCCAGCTTCGCTCCCTGTGCAAGTCACAGCCTCGCTGAGCCTCGGTTTCCTCATCTGTAAAATGAAGCAAACCTATCTACCTCCCAGCTCCGTTTCAAGGATCCAGGGAAGCTGAGACACAGGATCCCTTTACGGAGTGTGTTGCAGTGACCCCACACGAAGAAGAGGTCAGGGACTGAGATGGGCACGGGTCTGGAGAGGGTGACCCAGGCCATCCCCTCTGCCTGCCCAGGGTCAAAATCTCTGTAATGTAGCCGACTGCAGGCAGGTCTGTACACTCCAGGCAGCATCAGAGGGGAAGAGAGATCACAGAAGGACATAATGCCTCAAGAGTGGGTGAGTGTGAGTAGGTGAGGTCAGTCAGGGAGAGAGAGTGTATGCAAACGGGTGTGTGTGTGTGTAAGAGCGAGACAGAGAGATTCAGAGAAAGGGTGGATGGCTATTTGAATAAATGAGGAGGAGGATATTTTCGCCTGCACGTTTGCCCACAACCATCCCCTTGACATTTATTTACTGAGCACCTGCTCTGCGCCACACTCATTAGACGCTGGACATATGGATGAATAGGACTCGAGCCCTCCGTCAAGAAACGTGCATTCCGGTGGGAGCACAGACCAAAGACACAGACCCCACGGGGACATCACTCTGAGTGCTGAGAAGGAGGGAGGCGTGGGGGCCGAAGGGCACAGAGAAAAGTAGCCTGAGCAGGTGAAAGAGCTCCTCCAAAAGTGGCGTCTAAACTGAGCCGAGCAGAAGGGCCAGGGCTGGGCAGTGGAAGGAGTTGGTGCTCCAGAGGGAGCAGCACTGGAGCGTCAGCCTTTTCAGAGAAACCAGCCAGTGGGTCAGGACGGCCCCCCCTCTCTGCTCAGAATCCCGGAAGACTAAGATCCGTGTGACACAGAAAGGGCTCCACGGGGACCGGTAGCGGGGACCGAGTGGCCGCCTGGACTCCTTCTGACCTGCTTCACCACTGAGTTTTCTCAGACTCGTGTGAGAGGCGAGCCACGGCAGGCATCAGGGCACGGTCCTGCCTCCTGGCTCCACAGAGAGCACCGAGAGTTTACACAGCCCTGGCTCTGTGCCAGGCACAGGCTGGGAAGCCGGTGTGCTGCCCAACCCAGGTGTTCAGTAAATATTTTTAAAATAAATGACCAAGAGAGCAGAGCCAAGCCTTGAGCAGGAGAGTGGAGAACAGTCTTTCTAACGTATAGACCGGCCCTAGGTGAATTTAGATTACACCCTACATGGACACG